TTTCAAGATGCCTAAATAGAAGATAAATGCTTAAGATACACAAGTGCCCACACTGAGAGAAGTTGGGGAGAAGTGCTATGGACATGGCAGTTAGGATCATGAGATTCCTTTAAGAGTTTCACCTCTAATATCATAACTTCTGCCTCTTGAATATAATGCATGAAGTGATAATATCAATAATTGTAATTAAAAGTAGAATAAGGTTCTAGATTGCAAGTATTATAACCACTATAGTCAGAATCATTCGTTGTAAATTCCTCTCTTGATTTATAGGTTAGAGAAGAGCAGTCAATCCATGTTATATTAAGCTAAGCTTTTATTCCTTCTTTTTAATCTTCTATGATTGCTAACCTTTAATAACACTTCCCCCCCCCCCCCGATATTATCTTCTTGCCCTATGTTTGATTAGTGATAGTAAGGATATCTATGGAGATTCTCAATCATCCAGGTCATGGTTGTCCCGAGGTGCTTTTTCAAAAGGCAATTGGACTTTTTGTGATTTTTCTCTTGAAGATATCTCATTTTCCTCCAAGAAACATCTTCTGAACTAAATATGCTTTTTGGATGAGAAGCAAAATATCTTCAAGAGAAAAAAACACAGAAAGCCAAGTTGCCTTTTGAAAAACACCTTTGGGACAATAGTAATGATATTATTTTTTTCATTCCTTTCTATGAAGCATTTTCTAAATTCCCTTCTGCTATCTGACATACTCCACTAATATAGTGCAACTGAAATCACTAGCAGTGAATACTGGGTAATGTAGTCCCAGTACATCATAAAAACTACAATGATTTGTTACCTCTTTCTTCAAACAACTTTAAAGTTCATATTAATTTAGGTTAATTCCTTACCTTCTCCATTCTTTTCCTCTATTGATTATCTCTCCCTTCTTCCATAGTGTTTCTTAGAGTTGTGACTTTAGATTAAAGATTTTTTTTAATTTCTGCTTTTTTGTTTGATTCTAATTATATGTTCTGAAGCATACAAATCATCTATTAATAATAAAGCTGTCATAATAATTGCTTAATCAGTAATAATTTGAGTTGATTTTATTTGTACAAATAGAATTATTTCAGGCCAGATGAAGTGAGAGTAGTGAAAGTAGTTTGTAAACTGATACACAGTCATGATAATTCTATTTTTTAAATACCAGCTGTCAAGGTATAGAAAATATTATATGACCTTTCTCTTCCAGAAGAAGCTAACTTCCTGGAAAGAGTATGATGAATCCTCATATAATTTAATACTAGTCTTTATCAGATTGTGAAATGATACTCATATAATTTCATTGCTGCAGCTCTGTAGATATTTATAGGATTAAAGGCAATTGAGCATAAAAAACTTTTCAGCATACAGTCTAAACTCTTAGTGAGCTTAATAGGATTTGCTCCTATGCTGTAGCTGGAACTCTGTACTCAGTTAGTTGACAGTCATTAAACTTTCCTCTATGTAGATGCAGATAGGAACTGTGTTGTCAGAATATCAGTTATCATCTACTAAAATGTTCTAAGACCTTTTATGTTGTACTGAAACAACAAAAAGTCCAGGAGGAAGCTTAAATCCACTTGAATCAATCCCATTGAATTTAACAGGGATTACTTCTGAGCACCTATATGCAGGATTGCATTACATTTTACCGCTATTAAATTAATTTTCTTCTTCAAAATCTCCATGCCACAATTAGCAGCAAGCCCAAATACCTTTCCTACAAAATGGTACTAATGGTGACTAGTTAGCTAGCTTCAATTAGATTTGTTGACGTGAAGATTTTGAAAATGTTCTTAACATCAAAAGTTTTCTTTTGCTGAAACAAACAAAATGTTTTGAGAACTTATTTGTAGGACTTTATCCCAAAGTTTAATTATTATTTCTGTATCACCTCTTTGAAAGGTAGTGTCGTATAGACAACATTGTGAAATCTCCATCCCTGACAGTTGACTAGGAAAATGTTACTAGTCATAGAACTATCTTCAAAATAGTCAAGAAGTTTAACAACAAAACCTACACTTAAAACATACAGTATCTGTATACTTTTAAAGATTTCAGTTGTCCTTTAATGCTTTGGGATGCTGTTTCATTGTTTTATATCTATGGCTGCATAGATCTTCCAGTTGCTTCAGAAGTTTTAATTCTTTAGGAAGAGACAGCTTTGAATTGTCGGCACTGTTCAGAATGATAAATTTCCAAGGGAAATCAATTGCATCTATGGAAAACATATAACAATACTCATCTAGAAGGAAAAGTAATAATGTATGAATTCCGCTAAATTGTTCATCTGATAAGGCTTGCTTGTTTCAAATAACTTGAATAAGAATTTTAGAAGTTCTTATCTCTGACTCATATAGTCAACTCTGTAAATAGCAAAATACAGTTACTGTATATTGATTGAGTAATGTATAAGTCATCTCTTGAGAGAGCTTTAATTTCTCACAGATACTGTCCCAAGCAAGGATTGAGATTATGGAAAAGGTTAAATAGGATTTGAAGGTCTAGCATTAGAATCCCCAATGGGAAAATAAAATTAGAACAACTAAGGAAATAGGTTGAACTTGAAAGCTTTAGGGTTTAATTGTCACCATTTAGATACTTTCACATATGCATTTATGTGAAAAGGTAAGTAAGAACTATAAGAACTGGTAAGAAAAACTATATCCTAATTTTATGAGACCTTATGCCTATTGACTCTGTAGGAAACATTACTGTGTACAGTGAAGCTTATATTTTCATAAGATGATTGAAATAAGAGTATAAACATATGCAAACATTTGGAATGATACTGTTAGTGTCTACTGATGTCACTGTATAGGCACTAGACTAAATTTATGCAGACTCCTACTCAAGGCAAAATGATAAAAATAGTGATACACTAATAAACAAAATTTCCTGACAAATTTGATCAATGGGATGAATCCACTTTTAATCATATGATATGAAATTAAGTATGTAAGACCAATGCATAATTGAAATTTTAGGGAAAAATGTTTAAAATTTGGAATGGGTCCATTTTAATTTAAATAGGAATCAGTCTCACTGAAGTAAATTGGATAAGTTAGCAACTAGTATCTTATGTCCCATCAATATTAGTGTGTAAGAGTGACTAAATCTGAATAAAAACTAATATCATTAAAAATCAGACATATAATCAAGGTAATGGTATGCTGTGCTTTTTTGGATAGAGCTGAAAACGTACATAAATTGGTTTATATCAATATTGCAAACTATTTTAAATTCTGCAAGATCTTTGGATTTCATATTCATCATCTGTAACATCTCAAAATGGCTACAGAATTCATTAGATTGCCAAGGTATTTTAATTATTGGTTCTCACCAAATTAACTACGGAATAAAAAAGAATGCCTTTATAGCCCCTAAGAGATGTATAATTCAAAAATGTGTCATAGTGTAAAGGCAATAATAACTGCAGTGATTTTTGATGTTTTTATTCATCATAATTCTATGGAGAACAAAAAGATGTTTGCTATAATTTACTCCCAGCCTTGCTTCCTAAATTGTAAGAGTGACCTCTAGTGCTTCGCTGCTCTGTTATAGTTCCTTAAGTCCTATTTTGCTATAGATTGAAGAGGCATCTACCAAATAGTGCAATTCAGGTTCAATATTCTTCTGACAAAGGGATGAAATCATGACATGAAAAAAAATGGAACAATATTAAATTTATAAACTGCATATAGATACACTGCAGCAGGGAGTTGACAGAAAAAACTTGTTCCGTTCACTTGAATGTCAAATGAAGTAACATGAATGAATGACATACAGACACACAGACACACACTCAGAGAGAGACAGAAACACACTCAGGCAGTTCTCCACTGCAGAGAATGGGCTATTTAATGATTGTACTTCAGTCTTTAAAGCATGTAATCCAGTGAAATCATTCCACTTTCCTCCTGATCTATTTCTTCATTGTTCTTGGCAGCTTTCTTTTCAATGGTGTGACTGTGTTATTGATGGATCTTTTCTACTCACAGTTCTCCTAACTCAAGTCCCTATTCCTTGTTTCCTTCCTTCCCTGGTCTCCTCATCACACAAACTTCCATCAATGAACTGAAAATCTGAATACATGGACTGGAACATCAGTTAAGCTGTTTAATGCAAATTTAAGCTTTTTATTAACTGAGGCATTTAATAAGATCAGTCATCATGTATAGAAAAATGAGTTGCTATCAAACATTTGCCTATAATATATTTTGTACATAAAATTTGGTCTGAGTCAGGTTTGGGACCTATTTATCCCATATCTACAAGAAATACCAATTACTAAGTTAGTGACTCTCTTAAGTTCAAGAATTACACATAGCTTTTCTTTACAAATTATTGTCTTTTCAAAAATGAAAGGAAGAACACCATTTTCATACTGCCACTAACCTTCTATTGCCTGGTCACACATGAACATTACTCTCTCCCTAATCAATGAACATCCCCTAAAATCTTGTCCTTTGCATTGGCTGTGCTGTTTTACGATAGAGAGAGTTACTCTTCCTTCACTCAAGAAAAGCTTCCTTGTCCATAAAACTGCACATTGCTAAATGCAAAGCTGATGCAGCAGAGAATATCAGCATGCCAGCAGTCTCCCAGGAAAGACTTAACTCCTTGCTAAATATTGTGCTGCTCTATAGTAAACATTTAAAAGGACAGGTGGGGAGTGGGAGAGAATAAAAGACAGGTCAGGGTAGGGTGGGGGCAGGAGGGAAAGTAATACAGCACAGCATGCAGTTATAATAGTGAAATGTGAATTCTCTAGAGGCTATCATACCCTAAACTGCTCTTATCAGAGTCTGGTCAAATCAGTAAACGAAAAACACAAGGACATGACACATTTCCATCATCTGAAATCTTTTCATCCCATCTATTCTCAGTTCCGATTGCAGTTGCCTTGATTTATTCAGAAAACTCCCTTTCTAAAGTCCAGATTTCATTACAATAAGTCCTAAGTTTTGCAGAAAAGTCTGGTCTAAGTTTAATATCCATTGGTAATACTCACAGATCTCTCCGGCTGCTAATATATTCCAAGGATGGAGAGGGACCAGAAACAACAGTCTGAAGAAAATTTCAGTATAAGAATCCATGATCTCCTTGAATGAGGCACCCCAAAGTGTCAAGAGTATCGGGAGACAAACACAGCTGCTCTGCACTTCAGTTGTGCTCCGGCTTCCTCTGTTTTCCTTTCTCCCTTATCTCTCTCTCTGTCTCTCTATGTGTGTCTCTCTATTTCTCTCTCTGTCTCTCTCTCCCTCTGTGTGTGTGTTTTAGGGCTTCCCAGTAGCCAAATGGTTCAGTCAGATGCACTCTGCGTCTTTTCTCTCTTTCATATACAGGCAGCCACACACGCAGCTCACAAGATCTGCTCTTTTTCTCCTAACAGCAGCAATCCCCAGAGAGGATTCTGCTGCACGGATCTCTAATTTCACAGAATCACTCGGAGCTAAACTGCTAGGCTGCCCTGTACAGTTTGGTTACTGAAGCTTCCCGTTCATGATGTGTCCCGGATACCCCTTGTGGTGACAGGTAGGAAATGTGAGTCTATGATGAAAGCCAGACAATAAAGAGAACAGCCTGCACATGTGTGCCAAGAGCAGTCTTCCTGTTGGATCTGTACCCAATTCTTTATGGCCAATGATCATACAAAGGGAAAATGGATTGAGAAAAAGGGCAGAAGGCAGAATGAAGCTGTATATTTGTTGCCATCAGAAGCTTTCTTTCCCTCATTCTGCATTTAAAGGTAACTTTCAGCAGCTACATCATTTGCAAGAAGAGAAGAGAATGTTCCAATTTTATACCAAGAATGATTGCCATGAAATCCAATATTTACTCTATACATGCATTAAATTTTGCATTCGGACAAAGACCTTTGATTTTGAATTTAGGATGTTTCCTTGAGACAGTATCTTTAATGAGACACAGAATGGCTAAAGTCCTAAGAAACTGAAATCCCACAAACATCTAATGTGCTACTTTAGAAATTCAAGCAAGCTCAAGCTTGACATTTATTTCTCACACTCAGAAAATGATCACAAGAATAAAAGAGGAAGCTGGAGTGCCTTCAACTGGAATATCGAATGATAAAATGCCAATGTGCTGAAAAGAAATGGCACAGGGTTTTCTGAAATGGCATAGGATTTTCTGGTCTTCATTTTTAAAGAAAGTTTTCCAAAATAAAACTTAACCATAAATATCTGATAAATACAACACGATATAAACACAAAGTTGGTTATTAAACTCATTAATTGGGAACCATCACATCTTGCAGTCAATCATCCAAATATCCTTTGGATAAGGTAGAACAGGTTGTATTTCTTACTCCAGACTGTAAAACAGCTTTACATTTAAAAAGATAATAAAGCAGAATAATAAAAAAATAAACATTGCAGAGTTTAAATGCCCTCCTTTAAATTGTGGATACATACTCAACAATGTTTGGTAACATCAATGAAGTCTGTTCCAGATATAATATGTCTACTGAATCCATAGAACAGTTTTTAAATTGGACATTTAATAGGATAATTTCAAAGTAAATCACTTTATGCCAGTGATTTATGAAGTTTATATTATTATTATTATCAACAACAAATTTAACCTGCTGGAAAGATGAAGAATATTAAACAAGTTGATCCATAAGTCTTCTTCAAAGGAAACAGTTTTTGTGTGTACACTTACTGTTATTCAAGAACTGTTGCCAGATGAAAATATGGTATCTTTCTTTTCACAAATGTAATTTCCAATATTCTCAAAATGTAATTGATTCTAAGGAAGAAGAGGCCAAATGCCAGATTAACCCAAGTGAGTTGGGTATCCCTACTAGATATATTCATATATTACATTTCATGTAGCATTTGTAAAATGTGTATGCATGTGCCACAAAATGGATTTATGTATGTGCATGCATAATATTCATGATTCTTAATACTATGCCAGTAATACTATGACAATGAGTAGACTCACCAGAGTACATGTGTGAGTGGCCAGTCTCATAAAATGCAGTATTTAAAGAAAGCACACACTTGGATCCATCCCATTTGACTAACTAAGGTTAAACTTGATTTATATGAATAAACGTAAGAGAATATGATGACCCTGCATCAGCTATAATGTTCTTTTAAGCATTTTCCTTATAAAATAGTAGAGAATAACTGAGTGTCTCCCATATGTCCCCAAAATTTATAGTTGCTATTCAAAGGCCATAAATCTGCTAGTTATTATTTTAGTTTCAAAGATTCTAACAAATATATTATGTTCAAAGAATCAGTGCCCCATTAAGCCAGCTATACAGACATTCACTGAGCAACTGACCTTGGAGCAATCACTCTCTCAGCTGAAACTACACCCAAACTTGAGGGGAGATTAAAGGTGGAATTGGCTGTATTCTGTACTTGTTAGAGAGATCGAGTCATCAGCAAAAGAAGGAAAAATCCATCAGCAGATGGATGCAGATTAATGTGCATGGAAGCATCACTGTTTTAAATCCTAAATAGGCTACACTTCAAATTTGGTTGACTTCAACAGTCATCCCCAACCAATAAATAGGCTTGTTAAAAGACATTATGCGGCACAATTTCTTTAACTGGAAAAGGGCCTGCATTTTCTCATTATCTTATGCCAACCATTGTTGCCACCCATTATTGTTCTTTATAACAAAGTTCCCTAATCAACATTTTTAATGAATATAGAACTTTAACTGATGTTCCAAAATCCAATTTTAGGTCTATTTCCTTGGAAACAAAAAGCAGTTGTTCTTCTGCAATGGTGCCATCAGAAAGCAATGATTTCCATTTTTTCACAAGTTAGTCGTTATCCTCACTTTCCCAAAAATATTCGAGGTACATTAGTCATCTCAAATCTAAAAATAGGCAAAGTTGAAAATCCATGGCAAGCATTCACTAGGGAATTATATTTTTTTTAAATATTTCATCTAAATATTAAATATTTCATCTAAGCAACTGGATGGATTTCAAATATATATATATAATTCTGCAGAAATAGTGATTGTGAGTGGCACTGTAAGCAAATATTTTTCTTGTAATATGACAGAGATCAATCCAAACAAATGTTCGAAAGAAAGAGATCCCGGATTTCCCTCTGGATGAACAACCAATCAATACAATCATCTGTCTTTCTTTTATAGCTGCCAGAAAGCGTTTCGTTTTAGTACAATGGGAAACAGAACTATTTTATCCACAGAGTCTCAGCCATAGTTATGAAAGCACAGGTATGTCTGGCACTCTGTGGTGCACCATTATAATTCTTTTTCACATACGCTATGGCCCATAAAATGAAGGCTAGCTGATAACGACAAATAATATTTGACCCACCTTGACCACTGTAAACTTCCATTAGCAAGCTACAGACAGAACCAGAGAGAAACAAAAACACTTAAAACATGCCCCTGTGGTCTTTGCTCAAAAACTATTTACCTTTTCCTTTCAAAGACCTTTTTTAAATTAAATGTGTTCTCATGAAGCTCTCACCATTCCCCTCTACAGTCTTGCCAAAATGTAATTCTGTTTCTTTTCTTCCCTTATTAAAAGTTCTTCCTACAGTTCCCTTTTTTCTTGAATCACTGACATTGATGATTATGTCATTTAATTTCATTTCATTACTATGGTCTTTCCCCTCATGATTCCTATATAGTGAGACAAAGAAAGCGGGGGAGGAAACAATCTTGCTTCAAAGAATTGTGCAGTGTTTCCCCCCTTTTCCGGTGGTATTATTAAAAAAAAACAAAAACAAGAGGTGTTCTCAACCATCCTAATGGCACTTAAGAAAAATAATATCCAGACCTTTCTTAACTTGTGTGATAATAGCATTTGGTATTACTTAAACAATATCCCAAAAACTTTAAAGGAATTGCAGACAGCACATCTGTAGTAATAGTGGACCACAAGTTGTGGTCACTTGATAACATTCTTAATGACCCAGAGTGGTTCACTTCCCAAGTGCCTCTGGGACTGCCTGAACTGCCATCATAATAAGTCAGTGTGGTCATGTGATAATTTGCTTCATGTCTATTTCACTTAGCAATGGATTTGCTGGTCCCAATTAGAGTTGTTAAGAGAGAAGCATCTGCATTTGTTTAATTTACATGGCTGCCTATGTCAAAAACATGACACTTGGCTCATGTTAGTAATACTTAATAACAAGATAAAAACAAGACAACCAAATCCTAAACAATATACAGCAGACAAGGCTAAAGAAAACCCAAACAAAAATGAATACAGCTGTAATACAGGCTCAACCACACACCTCAAGCCCCTGGCTCAACAACAAAACTCAGTTTCTAAGGCCTTACAAAAGGCCAGCAGGGTACAATAAGTCTGATCTCTGTGGAAATGAAGTTCCAGGGGGTAGGAACCATGACAGAAAAGGCTGCCTCCTGAATCAAGGATATATTGCCTTTCCATGTTAATATGTGTTTCCTGGTAACATTTCTATTTGGAAGGACTATAATTGAGTCTTGTTCACACATTACCAGAGTAACATGAATGGAAACTACAGAGAAATAAATCCTGCTGGGTTGTTGTTAGTCACATGTACCATTTTGGTGATGTCGTGATCATTGTTATAGTAAGTACTGCTACCGCAGAAATCTACTTATGTGTTTCTTTTCTTTTCTTTTTTTCTTAAAACACAAATAATACAAACAGTACATATACAACTGAATATAAAAAAGACAAAAGAAAAAGGGGAAAAAAACCACATATTTTTGGAGACCTCCCCCCCTTATATGTCTTAGATATACAATATATTCCAATTGTGCCCTTATACCCTCCAAAACAACATATATTCTTAAGTAGTTTTATTCCCTTTGCCTTCCACCAAAAATGATTTTATAAAATCCCTCCATATTTCATTATAATTATTTACTTTAATCATCCCTTTTTAAGTTTAATTGGTAATTTATTATTTGTTGCCATACTGTAAATTTCATTATACCACTCATTTCTTTGAATATCCCAATTTCATCCTCAATGTTTAACCATTACTAATCTAGCTGCCATTATCAAATTTACAATCAATTCTTTTTTTGTTTCATTTATGTCCCATTTTCCAACAATAATGGAATCCTTGGTGACATGTCTAGATTTACATTCAACAGTGCTCAAATTTCTCTAAACATCAGGCCCCATATTTTTTGTGCACTACTTATATGTTTCTTTGCAATTGTGGCACATAGTACTATAT